TGTGCCCAGACAGTCAATGGTTGGTTAAAAAAAAAAATAAAACCATACATGCATACATAAACATAGACCACTTTCAGCTCAGTTGGCTGCCAAGAGATAGTTACAATGCTTTTTCTAATTTCCTCTTAAATAACCAATGTCTTCAAAGAGTGATCTGTACCCTCTGGCACCATGTCACCTTCACTCATTTCTGTCTGTGATTTCCCTAATTTCCTAATGGCAGATCGGGCTCTAGAAGCAGCTTTAGTAAAACAGCTTTCTTACAGTCAGTCTCTTTGGTGTTCTAACCCAAACCTTTGCCTCACGTGTAAGTTTCCCTGATCTTCTAAACTTGGCTGCTGAGACTTTCTTCGGAAGCCTCCCAAACTCAGCTGTTCACTTCTCACTTCTTCTTTTGCTCTTCTTACTCTGCATTTTCTCCTGTTCTCATTCTTTCAGTTCGGTAGCACCTTTGGGGAATCTTCCTCAGTCCACACCCCCAGCTTTGAGAATGACCTGTCTGAGCCTCTCCTGTTCTCTCTTTCTCTCCCAGTGGTTGAAAACATTCATGAAGGGCCACGTACAAATGGGGCAGAGGGTGAAGAGCTACCGAGAAAGAGAATCATAAGGCACATGGGCAGAGGGAAGGCAAGTCCAGGGGACACATGACCTCAGAGGGAGGAGGAGATGGGAACTGCTCTGTGCCAATGGTGCCTCAGTTCTGGTCCTTTGGGGGAGGGCTAGTTGTGCTTCTTACCGTGAGATGTTCTTGTCTCCTCCCAATAAACCTCCCCCTTTGGGCTTAAGTTAGGTGAAGAGTCTTCTATTTCTTGCATTCCCTACATGTGGGGTGACACCCCTAGCCCTAAGACATAGCCCTGGGTCTTTTCCTTTTCTCTACATGAAACCCCAACAACTCACCACCCTTAAGTTGATGACTTCTGAATCTGTGCCTCTAAAATACGAAGTTTCTTGGTTTTCCAAAGGAATTGTCCAAAGGAAGAGGGGATTTACTGAAGTAGTTAAGAGTGTGAGTTCTGGGTTCAGACTGCCTAATTACCCTGAGATCTTAAGACCTCTCTCTGTGCCTCTATTTTCCCATCTGTAAAATGGGAGTAATAAAAGTATTTACCTTATAAGAGTTTGTGAGAATTGAGTGACTTGATTCATATAAAGCTCTTAGAAACAGTGCTTGACACATTGTAAACCTGCAATAAATGTTATTGTAATTACTATTATTTATAGGAACACATTGCTACTTGGCTTTCTACTTCCCGGCTTCCCAGCTTCCTTCCAAAGAGAATGCGGCTCCTGGTCCCGTCGTTGGCTCCTCCATTCGTTCCAGCAGTCCTGAAATTTGACTTCAGGTCTATTTGACTTTGGGGCCTGGACTTACTCCATTAGACTAGCAGTTCCCAAGTTGGACTACATGTTAGATACCAAAGATTTTGACTCAGAATCCTTCCAAATTAGGACTTGGGAATCTATATTTAAAAAACAAAAACAAGAACAAGAACAAGAACAAGAACAAAAACAATTCCTCAGCTAATTCTAATGGACCTGACCACTGGATCAGAGTTTGGGGAACTACTGTGGATTACACTATTTTATCCTCACTGACTTTATCTGTAAAGTGAATGCAGTAAATACCTATTTCATAGAATTGCTAACCTAGCATGTATTGTGGCTTCACTGTGTGCCAGGAACTGTGCTAAGGGCTTTCTAGCTACTGTCTCATTTAACTTTTCACAACAATCTTGTGAAGTAGATGCTAGATAATACCCATATTACAGATGAGGAAACTGGGGTATAAGGAGGGTACATTGCTTGCTAAAACCACTCAGTTAGCAAGTGTGGAGAGTGAGCATATGAACTGCTGTGGTCAAAGAGACTAGTATATTAGTTATGCTGCTGATATCTGTTTTGAGCAGTTCATTATCTGTCATTTCTTCTTGGAGTTTCTTTGGAGACTAGTATATTAGATCATGTATTTACAGCATCTGATTATATAGTAGGTGCTCAATAAATGTTCTCTTTCCCTTTCCTTGTATCTCTGTGATTCTGTTCATGCCCAGTGAATTTTAGATTGAGGACAACACTTTGACCTTAACAGTGCCCAGAGAATTGAAAACCAATATTCTAGAAGGTAGAAAATGAAAGGGAAGTAGGTACCAGTGGAAGATGGAGGTTGCTTGGCATCTCCAGCAGAGAGAAGCACAATGTGTAATTACATATGGAAGGACAGGCTCATGTGAAGAGAAACAGTAGCTTGGCCACTGAGGGTAGGAAGAGTCAAGATGATAAACTTTAAAAAAGGAGAACCAAAGTATGAGGGTAGAATCACTTCATCTTACAGAGGCAGAGTCCTAAAAGGACAACCCATTCAAGGATTGCTCCTACCACATGGCCATCCAATTCTTATCTAGATTGGATTGACAGGAATTCAACTTATCAAGGCATAGAAGGCTCTAGTCGTCAGAAAACTCTTCATATTGCTTCGTTCTAGACATTCTCCCCACAGGTCCTCCTTTCACCCTTTAGGGCTCTGAAGAATGAGTCTGATTTCTCTTCTCTTTGACAGCCCTTCAAATACAAATACCATGTACCCCCTGGGGCAAAACCTTCTGCTTCCTTTCATCTTTCCTCAAATGACATAGTTCCCAGCCTCTTTACATCCTGGTCCCTCTCCTTGTGCATGTAGATACTTTTCTTTACCAAGTCTTAATTGAAGACATTGTATAATGACCAACACTGGGCAGCACTGTCACACCCAACTTGCTGTACATGTCAGACTTTGATCGATGCAGCCCAAGACAGCATTCATTTATTTTGGCAGCCATACTTCACTAAGAACTCAGACTGAGTTGCCTGTCACCTGTGACCATTTAGGCTTGCTTGTGTATGCATCTGTCAAGATACCTCTGCCTTTCAGCAGTTAGTTTTCCAGGCTGGGACCCCCACATGTATCCCCGTAAGAGCTAGCCCACTGTTCCAACACTGCATTCAGCTTATGTTATGCAGTGGCATCTCTTCCCCTCCTGGTTTGGTGTCATCTGGAAATGTGATACAAATCCTCTGGGTTTTCATTCAAACCACTGATCAAAGTGTTGAAGTCTGGGCCCTGGAGAGAGCCTTCTGCCATTCTGATGGCAAGGGGTATGGTATGAAGGTTCTGAAGTCAAATAAGCCTGGTTTGAGTTAGGCCTCTGCCACCTACTGTGTGACATTGGACTAGCTGGTTAAACTTGGAGTTTCAGTCTCCTCATCTGTAAAATGGGGGTGTGAGGATTAAGGGAGAAGATGCGGGGAATGCATTTATCACATGACTGATGCTGCATAAATATTGATCCCCTCCACCCTTCCTTCAGGTCAACATAAATTTATTTATCAGCATATTTAGGTTATGATTAATTAAACCAGTTATTTGCCCAATTAATTATACTAGAATCCAGGCCTACATTTCTTTTGCTTATCCACAATATCTTGGGAAGTGTGTTACTAAAATGTCACTATATAAAGTGGTTTCTTTAAGAAATCAGGGCAGGGACAAAGTAAACAGCAGTAAGATTCTACCTGCTTATAAATTTAGAAAAAATAGTAAGCTACAATGAAATTGGTTGTCCTTGAGAATAGTCAATATTCAGGCTGTAAGTGCATATTGGGCAACCACTCTGTGCCTGGCAATGAGCTGGACACAGCAAGGGTTCTATGATGATTAAAATTCAATGTTTGTGTTCAAGGAAAGAGGCTACAGTTCTAGAGTCCTAGGGGCTAGTCTGGGTCATAGTACTGAGTGAAGTGATTTAATTCCATTTGTTCATGTATCCAGTCAACAAACATTTATCAAGCATTTGCTAGATGTCAGGTCTCCTGCCCCCAACCCTCTATTTCACTCCCATGAGGCGTTCAAGGGAGGCAGGGTGAGTATAAGGGAAAAAAAGACACCACCCTGGCATTTTGGGAGTTTAACAAGTGGAGGGGTTGAGAGATCTTTGTGCTTAAAGGCCCTCTGCTGAGTGCTTGAGGTGCAAAAGTAAGGCAGATTCGCTGTCTTCTCAGCACCTAAGTTGTGTTTTGTTATGAAATAGTAGTTTCCTTCTGTCCCACTCCCTGGACAGCTTTTCGTGGTGGAGACGACGGCCTTCCGCGACGGTGTCTGCCACACAGTAGGTGGTCAAAACCCGGCCGCTGGAAGGAAATGCCATGGAGCCGCTGCGGGCTTGAGTTTTTTCTTTTGAACAAGGAGACTGACAGCTCCAACGGGGCGCTTGGAGGTCAGGACGAACGAAAGGAACCTAAGAAGCTTGGATGGGAAAGCCTCCTATAAACAGTAAGTATTCGTTCTCCCGTTTGGACTCTGGCAAGCCAGGGTGTTTCAGGAAGGGTCTGGCACTCGGCGTTCCTAAAACTGGTTTCCTAGATGGAGTCGGAGGGAGGCGAGTGAGGAAACGACGCATCTCGTCCGGGTGTCCGAGCGAAGAAGGGGAAGGAGGAGGGGTGAGACCGCTGAGCCAGAAGCAAGCCAGGGTCCTAGAGAAGAGGGACAGCCCAGGCGACCGCAAGCAGTGCGGCGTCTGCACCCGCAGTGGCCACCGCGAGCGGGAGACCTGAGGGGTAGGGAGAGGGCAGGGGCGAGGAAATCTAGGGAAAGCGCGCGGATTGGTCCTCGCCTCGGGGCGTGCGCTTCTGTGTGCCAAGCGATTGGTGGCGGGAAAGTAGCAGGTAAACCAACCCCCGCCGCCCCGCCATTGGCCAGAGGCTTCTCTAGCCGCCACACAACTGGCCAGCGGGCCGCCGAGCCGCGCGCTGATTGGTCGGGCGCGACCGCCGAGACCGGCTCCCTTCGGGCGCTCGGATTGGCTGGCGGAAAGAGGCAGGTATCCGGGCTCCGCGGCTCCTCCATTGGTGGGCGGGGAAGGGGGGGGTTGGGCACAGCGATTGGTGGGCGGGGGGCCGGGCCTGGGCCGGCGGGGAGCGGATTGGTCGGAAAGTAGGTTAGTGGTGCGACATTTAGGGAAGGCAGAAAGTAGGTCAGGGACGGAGGTGCCTGTTTACCCGCGCCGGACTCACCGCCGCCGCCGCCGCGGGATCCGAGTGGGGGCGCGGACGCGGGCACTCCCGCGAGCCACGGTGAGTGTCGGGCCGGCCCCGGCCCGCGGCGCGGCCCCGAGCACCCCGTCGGGGGCCGTTAGCACCCTGGCAGGCGCGGCGCCCCCGCCGCCGCCCCGGGCGCAGCCCGGTCGCCGGGGAACCCTGCCCGACGTGCCCGCTGCCGGCCTTAAAGGGCCCGTGCCCGCTCCCTGCCCCCACCCCAGCCGCGGGGAGGCTGCGCCCCTTAAAGGCGCCGCGCCCGGCCGCCCCCATCCTCTCTCGCGGGGGCTGGCACTGCAGGGTTGGGCGGGCAGAGGTGCCGCAGGCGCCCTTAAAGGGACCGGGAAAGTGTCCGCGGGAGTACCTACCTCCCCTCCGGGGGCATCGCTACCTGAGGGGTGGGGAGAGGAGGGAAGAAGCAGCCAGCTGCCTCTTAAAGGAACAGCTCCGCCCTTTGGGAGCAATGATCCGGCTCTGGGCGAGTCCTAGGATGTATCCTTGGGAGCTGGGGGGAGACCCTCGAGAGGACCATTCTTGACGGCTGCACCCCAAGGGCGTTGGACCAGCAGTGCCTCTTCTGCCCTTCCTCCCCATCTCCTCCACTTCCCTTTCGGGAGTCAGCGGGGCTGGGAGGGGGCGGGGAGGGCGTCTCCGTCGGGCTTGGGGAGTATTAGTCCGTTCGCCCCTTTGGCCCAATCGCGAGGCCTGGCCCTGCACCCGGGAATCCGGGCCCCAAGATGGGGCAGACCCTAGCCTGCGAACTTTCGTCCGGCCTGCGCTGTCTGGGTGCTCGGCGGCCCCGGGAGGATCCCCCGTGGTCCTCGAGCAGGTGCCCGATGGCACGGGGACGTCGCCCGGCGTCCAGGTTTGGGCACTCCGCCCGCTCTGGAAGCCCTGGAGCCCCGCGGAGAGCGCTGCAAGGCTGGTTCTAGCGCCGGGTTTGACAGATGTCAGGAAAGAAAGGTTCCCGCTCGCGACTGCCGGGTGTTGACAGCCAAGAGAGCTCTCGTTGGCTCGGAGGTAGAAGTGGAAAAGTAGAAATTAATGCCGACCTTGTGGGGCTTGAGTGGTTGACCCCGAGGGGTCACAAAAGCCTGCTCAGGAGCGCAGGCAGGTGTCGGAAGGCAGGCGCAGGGGAAGGAAGGGTTGCTCTGGACTCTGACGTCGGTTGTCCCTGGCAGTGCTGGCCGATGAAGGACCAGGCTGACAGCCCTCACCCCACATTCCCTAGCCCCTTTTCCATCCTCTGCTTCGGCCCCTTGGCCCCTTCCCGGTCCAACGGCGTTGTTTGGGCACTTTGGCGCTTGCTAGTCTCTTCTCCCTACTTACGAAGCTACTCCTCAGCATGCAATTATTAGCCAAGTTTTCTCACCCAGCTTCCAGAAATAAGATTCGGTATTTATGAAGAAGCATTTCCTGGCTGTACCTGTATTTCCAGGATCTCCGTTTAAAGAAAAAGAAAGAAAGAAAGAAAAAAAGATCCACAAAAGCTGCCCATTAGATGCATCTCATTTCCCACCAGGCTTGCTCGTCCTTCTGACATCTTGCTGCTGTCCTCCCCTTCATCTATTTTTATATGACAACTATTATTTTAATTCTTCTGGTCCCATTGATATCAGGATCTGTCAATTTGGGTTGGTGGAGTTTTTAATTAATGTACTGGTTGAATCATGAGCTTAAAATAATCATTGCTGCTCCTGAGCATTTTGAATAATCTCATGCTCTTCGAGCTTGCAAGTAAAAAAAAAAAAAATCACTGCTGTCAAATTAAATTTCCATATAAATGAAACTCCAAAATATTTTTTAAAACACAAAACTGAATCTTTCGGTCCATGATCTGTTACTGAGTTCACTTTAAAACAGTTTGTTGCACCCTATTTAGAAAAGGCTTTGAAATTGCCTGTATCATCTGAACCTGGATCCATGGAGGTATTTTGGTTTTGATGGTAGACATAATAATAGCATTATTATTATTATTATTTAAAGCTATAGTTAAATGTATGCCTTATTTCAGCCCCTACAGTTTAAAAAGAGGGAGAGAGAAAGGAACAGGTGGTGGAAGATCGCTAGCTTGAGAGTTAGAACATTCTGGTTCTAGCCCAGACTTGGTTTTCATGGCTGTGCCACTTCGGGCAAGTCACTGAACCTCTCTGGGTTCCGTTTGTCTCAGATGGAAAGTCAGGCCGTGGAACTCCATGATCTCAAAGGTTCCTTCTGCGCTCCAGTTCTCTGCATCTCTAAATTTTTAATACATTTAAGTTCAGGTTGGTATTTACCTGCTCGAGCCTCCAGAACATCTGAGCTGAAGTCCTATTTTCATAGGAAACTTAAACAGAACAACAGATGGGGTTTTAACGAATCCATTTCGAATGATATATAAGATGATGACTACTCAGGAGTTTGTCTGCCTCTTGTTGAAGCCGTTTGCATGCCACACAGAAGAAAAGGAAGTGGTCGTGTTTTCAGATTTAGCCTTCACTACCGACAATCTCTGCAGTTTATATACGAAACAGTGAACAAGCCCTGGAGAAAGACTTGGCTATGTTAACAAAGCTGCATGAGAATCTGTAAAAGCTAAATATTTAATATGTCTCTTTGGTGTAAGCATTGCCTTCCTTCCATGAGATTTCTTCTGTTTGTGATTGCAGCATCAGCTCTGAGGGGGGTGGATGAAAGTCAGTATTAAAGAAACAGTATTTGTCCCTTACGATGTTACAGCTTCGGAGTGATTTTAGTTAGCATCGTGGCAGATACTTGCAGGGAGGTAAAAAATCCTTTCTAGACCTTGAGGTCTAGTAGTGAGAAGCCCAGAAACACAGGCATGCTGCCCTTCTGGGTCTTTTCTCTCCTCGTTGCTGCTTTGTCACAACACCTGGACTTATCCCAAACACCCACCCAGGCTTTCCCCTTCTTTCTCTCTGGAAACAAGACCTGCTCTGACTTGAGCCCCCTCGGTGTCTCTTCCTTCCTGTTCAGAATGTCCTGTCTCTTTCCTCCATGTCTCCTCTTCTCTTTCCAGTTCAGAAGAAGCAAGTGGATCTCTCCTCCCTTTCTTTTTCTTCACTTTGGGTGGGAGCCTGGACTCTGGTGGCAGGACTGGGACTTGGGTTCGGATTAGACGATTGCTTGACCCCTCTGACCGCAGGCTCCTCCTCTGTGATGTAGTGACAGTGCCAGCCTCATGGAGTCTGTGTGGGGATCAAGGGAGATGATGCATGTAAAATGCCTGGCAAACAGGAAGCCCTCCCTCCGTGCCTGCTGCCACTCCCTCCCGCCGCTGCCAGGGTCCAGTCCCCTGAATATCCTTCATGCTGTTTGTCCTCAGCCTCCTCACCAACCCCAGAAAAGCCTTCCTCTCAATTTAGGAGAGGAAGGATGGCAGGAGAAGAAACAGCCCTTCTGTGGGCCTGCTATGCAGCAGGCAGCATTCACGTATCTGTACACTGTGCCCCTGAACTTGTATGTCTCTCTCTCCCCTCCCTGCCCAGCATCCCCTCCCAGGGCTGTGAACATTCACCTCATCTTCTCTCTCTCATCTTCTCTGTCCCTGGCTTCCACCCTCTGGCTCCTATCAGCCTTCTCTGTAGTTCTTCTCAAAAATCTCCAAAATCTTTAAGCCTTGAATTCCAGGGACCCGTTCTTAGTCCAGACTGGTTGCTCTGGGCCCCTGTGCAGCTGTTACCCTGTCTTTCCCTTCCTTCTTGAAATTTTCTCCTTCTTCAGCCTTTGCCACGATGCTTTCTTGGTTCTCTTTCTGCATACTCTAAAGGTAGGTTTCTGTCCTGGCCCCTGCTCTTCACACTCTTCCTCTCACCCAGGGTCCCACGTTCAGCCCTGATCTGTGTCTCCTGTCTCAGCAGCTAGCAGGTTCATCGTACACATTAGCAATAGCCTGGAGCCGGCATCTGTGACCTTGGAGTTAAAGGTTGCAAACTGTTCGCAAGCACTGCCTCATTTCATCCTCATAACACACTGTTGCCTATACCCCTTCACACCCAAGCTGTCCTGAGAGGCAGTCGGTTTGAGCAGTTAAAAGCCCAGACTTTGGAGTCAGTTTCATATCCTAACTGTTCCTTACCAGCTTTGTGATTTGTGGTCAGGTTGCTTTGCTCACCGTGTCTTGGTGTCCTCAATTATAAGACCAGGATCTCTGGAGTCCTTACCTCAAAGAGTTGTGGTGTAGATTGAATGAGTTAAAACTATTAAAAATACGTGAAGCTATTCATGGCACAGAGTAAGCATTCAGTGTATGTTAGCTCTTGGTGCACTGGTCCTTCTTACCTTTCCGTGTCCAGCCCGCCTGTCTGTGTGCACAGGACTGTCTGGTCAAACTGAAGGGCTTTCTTTTCCCTGGACCAGCCCTTGGCTCATTGCATGTTCCAACTTTCTTACATCCAAATCTTACCCTTCTCTAAGACCCAGCTCAAATGCCTGGTCCTCTCAGAGCTGTTCATTTTGTTTTTCTTCCTCCCCGTACCTGGTAGCCGTGCCCTCCAGCTCTTGATCTAGCTCAAATTCTTAGGTGCTGCTGCATCTATATTGTGTTGGGCCATCTCTGGGAATATCTCTCTTGCTTGCTCAGGCTAAGCAGTTTGGGGGACTTCATCTTGGTTTCCCAAAATCATAGGCACAAGGAGCCTTCAGGATATGTTTGTCCAATCTCAATTAATGATCTTGAGGAAGAAAAAATGGGATAGGATGCAACAGGTGGAAGCAGCCATGGCCATGAGTAGGTAGGTTTACAGGGAAGGGGGGTTTGAGTTGGGGACTTACGTGTTGGGGGAGATAAGATCGGATAAGCTTTAGTCATCTTTGCTTTAAGGGAACGTTGAGTGCTGGCATATGATGAGAAATGATTTTTACATTAGCACATGCTGTCCTTTTAGATAGTATAAACTCATGTTCCATCAGCCTGGTTAAAGAAGGGGAATGGAGGTCTTGATTTCATATTCTGGTTAATACTCTACCCATTGGATTTTGTACGTATACCGAGTAAAACATTTACATGTATTTATGCCTTCAACTCGCATTTGAAATGT